TCGGCGGTGGGCCCCGCGCCTCTCGGTCCCGGGGACGACCGGAAGTGCCCTGCGGGCGGGGAACACTGGTGATCGCTCGCGGCTCAGCAGACGCTGCGCGGGGCGGGAGACAGGAGGGGAGACACGGGGCGTCCCCAGCCGCAGCTCACGCATGCGTTGACGGGCTGCCTCCTTCCGCGGAGCCCGCGGGGCCGGGCGGGCCGCTTTCCGGAAGAGGCGGGGCCGTTGGCGGAGGCGCGGGATTCGGAAGTGCTGCCTGGCGCAGCGCGGGCTGGCTGGGTAGCTAGGGCCTTGGTTTTCCTTGTGTTGAAGAAATTCAGAAACTTAGAGGCAGCAGTAGGCAGGCTTGGGGCCCACTGGCAAATGACCGAGGAGGAAGGGTGTCCGGGTAAGTCGGGGGCCAGGAGCCCGCGCGGCTCCCGAGGGGCCGGCGTTGCGCGTCGTTGAGCGTTTGTAGTCCCTGCTTCCCCGCGCCAACCTCAGTGTGACCCCTCAGTCAATACCGAGCAAGCCTCGGTCCTCCCTGCGCTCGCCTCAGCTCGATTGACCCCACACAAGACTTTTGCAGGACTAGCTGACCTGGTCACCGAGCGTGCTCCAGAATCTTCCCTCTAGGGGAGGAGAGGGGCTCACGACTCCCCACCCCTTCAGTAATGAAATTTCTTCCTTCAAAGTCGCCTTTAACTTCTAAACGCAGTCAAAACTGTTATACTGCGGCCTCTGCAGTGGACTAATGAATCTGGATGAAATGGTCCTTGTTGGTAACTAGTGGGAAGCACCTGGGAGGTCCCTCTTAGATGTCACTTCAGGGGGCCTTCCTTAATCTCCAAGATGAGGTAGGGCACCTCTTTTCTCTACAGTCCTGTGCCCTCTTAGCAGACGTTCCTGTACTTCTCACATTGATACATTTGCTTGTTTTTCTGCATCTCATCCTACCAATGCCCTTAAATGTAGAACCTGATTTGCCATTCTTTGTATCTCCAGCACCTTCCTAAAAGCATTCCTGGTAAATAGTAAATGTTTGGTGAATATTTGTTTGAAAAGGTATGTTAACTCTGGCTTAGAGTAAGCCTCAGAGTTCAGGCTAAATTCACATGAAAAATTCAAATTAATTTTTAAAAATCATAAATTTTAAAATTGAAAAATTAAACTAAAAATACTTATAGTAAATCCCATACAGTACAACCTTGTGCTGAAAGTCGACACCATTTACCAATCATTATATGAAAATACAGTCATCTAAATGGGAATTGGAAAATTTAAGCATTCCGTGCCTTTTTGTTAAAATAAACTTGATAATTTTTTACTTGAAGTAATAGATTAGAAAACTTATTTTTAAGAAATACCTGTTTTGTATAAATCAAGCTACTGACTTCATGTTCTTTAAATTTGATTCATTAGTAAAATTAGCAAGGTTCTGTGTTTTTCTCACCTCATTCAGTTTTATAATTAACCAATAAAATCTTATTAGCTTTTAAGGAAGTTTTAGGAGCATAAATTGATTTATGGACACCATATGGTCACATCAAAGGTTTTGTTTTTGTTTTAACTTGAAATGGATTCTTAAACCCTATAATTAAATAGGAATTTATGTCCTGTGTAGCAAGCAATAATTTCTACAATAGAGTAATTTTTTAATAGTAAACTAAAAAAATTTGGCCATGAGATTCAAAAGATATTAAATGTAATTGATCTGGTTTAATGCCTGTCATTTTGGAAAAAGGTTAAATGTCTTCCCAAGGTTATTGAGCTAATCAGTGATATATCTAAGACCAAAATCGTAGGATTTTCCATATTCCAAACCCAGTGTTCTTTCCATTAAGCTAAATAAATTGAAGGCATTCATAGGTTATAATGTCACTTGTTATGTGTTGTTTTGTTGATAGATTAAACTAAGTAAATTGAAAGCGTTCATAATCTATAGTTATTTATCTCTTATTTCCTTGATTGCCATGAATATTCTTGTGACATAATTAATTCTTAAGAATTGTGGATATGTTAGACTCATTTTTATATAGTATATATTGATTGCATGATTGGACTTAACGTAAATAAAGTTATTACATTGTAATGGATTTGATTAGGAACTCACCAAATCCCACACCACAAAACCTGACCATACAAGGACCATCTGTTCTATGTCACATTGTGGTTCAGTACCTTAAAGGCTGTTGTACTCTGTTCTGTTTTGGAATTTTTTAATGTGCTTTTATAGTTTTAATTATTGCTATTTAATCACTTCAGAAAAATGGTGCAAAGAATATGCAACAAAGAAAAGAAAACAATAGATTATAGAGATCTTGGATTAACTACATTCTTAAAACAGGTTATGGTGTACTTTTTAATAAAGCAAACACTAAAAAGTAGAAGCAGAGAGGCTAGTTAGAAGGCTTAGCGTTGAATATAGGCAGAATTAGTGGAGTATCAGTAGAAATGGAGGTAGAATACATTTTGGAAATAGGGGACTCACTAATTAACTTGCTATTGGAGAGCAAAATAGAGACAAAGCAAGATTGACAGCTAAGTTTTGGACCTAAGCAGCTAGGTTTTGGAGGAAGGCTGGGGTGAAATAGTTTTGAGGAGAGGGAATAGAACCAAATGTTAGATGCATATTATGCATCAGACAATTAGATGTTCTATCAAGAGCTGGGGAGAATGATGTGGGATTAATAGTAAAGATCAAGACAGTGAACAAAAATTCTAATTCCTGTTCTCACCTCCAGTCCTTTAGTGTTGCTTAGCATAGTTCTGATGTGTATTTCGAAGCTAAAACTAGTGAATGCTATATGAAGTCTTGCAGTAACTCAGTCTAGTAGAAAATTTATTAGCAATCACTTTCTAAAGGGAAAAATCGTTAGCATGTGTCATAAAAAGATTGCTCTTCTAAAAATATCCCCTGGTTCCTGTTATTAAGAGAAAAAAGTTTAAAAGTATCGTCCTCCACAGTTGTAATTCCTTAATGCTTATGAAAGAAGATAGCTTAGTTTTTAAATCCATTTTGGTGGATATATGGGAACTGTAGGTTTAAAAGGCCTTGAGGTAGATTAAAGAATATCATAACCAGAGGACTGGCAATGAAGGCCCATTTTTCTAGAATGTCCCATGACTGAGGGAAAATGGAGAACAAAAGCTTTAGCATAGATATTTGCTCATATTGCTTATATTTTACTTTGGGGGAACCAATAGATAATTCAGTTATAGACATTTTTGGTCACTATTACACCAGTTGGTTTTAGGTAGCCATTATTACAGTAGGGTAGTGTTTACTCACATTTAAAAAATACAGACAAAATAGGTGTCCTACCTAGATATTTACAGATAATCTGTTCAACTACCATTGCTACTTATTTTGAACTGTGGTTACTTATTCTTTAAACCAGGTTTGCTTCTTTCATAAGAATGGGTGTAAAGACCCTCTTTCTGCCGGGCGTGGTAGCGCACACTTGTAATAGCAGCACTCAGGAGGCTGAGGCAGGAGGATCTTGCGAGTTCAAGATCAGCCTGGGCTGCAAAGTGAGCTCAAGGCCAGCTTGAACTGTATAGTGAGACCCTGTCTCAAAAGGACAAAAAAAAAGACCCTCTTTCTGTGCAGATTCTAATCTGTGGAAAACTTGTAAATTGAGCATCCCTCATCCTAAAATCTAAAATGCTTCTAAGTACAAAACTTTGGGCCCCAACACAGTGCCACAGTGGAAATTTTTCATACCATGTAACTTTGTTTCATGTATAAAATTTAAAATATTGTATAAAATTGCCTTTAGACAATGTGTACTAGGAGTACAGTCCTCCCTCCTAGTAATGGAGGTTACATTATGGAGGTTCATAGGTTCACTTATTGCAGCTTCATTGTATTGAGGGTTTAAAAAAAAACATCTAATTCTGTATCGCAGAGTTTTCGCTATATAGCAGGATTGTGTAAATATATAGGTATTTATTTATATAATATTTATGGCTATTTTTGTTTAAAAAATTTAAAACAACATAAAACAAAAAATGTTGATTCAAACATATTAAAAGAATATCAAAATAAAATACTGTGCAGTATGTATTTCATCAGTGGTTGAATAGTGTACTTTACACAGTAGAAACGCAGTATGCCACTACTGCCAGCCCAGACCTGACAGAGCCACCTGGCCATGCAAGCTGACCCACACCGAATGGGCTTTGCTTATAGGCAAGGAGGGTTTGCTGCATGACCCCCGGCCCCCACCAGCGGTAGGAGCCAGCCTGGGCAGGGCAAGCGGTTCCGGCCGGGCACTGGGCTGTGACTGGGGCTTGGCTGGGCCACACACACACCGCTCCCTAGCCAGATCCCGCCCTCCATCCATACCTGCCCTATCTTCCTCTCCTACCCTCGGAGCTGAGGCACCGATTCCCCCAGGCATCCCCAGGCGCCACCCCAGTTGGAAGCCATGGCTTTGGGAAGAAGGATCTCCCTGGGAATGCGCATAGGAGTGTGGGAAGGGTTTATAAAGCCTTAAAGTATATACAAATGATAAAATAAATATAATGCCCCTACTTCACGGATTTTCACTTACTGTGGGGGTCTCTGTAATGTAACTCCCGTGATAGGTGAGAGACCACTGTATTTAAAATACAAATGAATTTTATGTTTAGACTTGATTGGGCCTCATCCCTAAGATAATTCATTATGTGTATGCAAATATTCCAAAACTGAAACAGCATCAAATTCCAAACACTTCTGAGCCCAAGAACTTGAGATAAGAGATATTCAACCTAAAATACAATTAATTCTTGGCTTTTTTTTTCCAGCCATGGCTGCTCTCAGTGAATAATATACTCCATTAAAATCTTTCCAGAGTGACCCTAATGTTCTTGAAATATTTGGAGAACTGCAGTGTAGTCTACCTCCTCCACATTTCTGTATTTGTTTTTCACCACAACCCACAAAAAATACAGTTTGACATCATAGTCCTACAGATAAATGTGTGTTTTACATGTACTGTCATACCTAACACTGGCACAGATAGTAATTCTTTACTACTATTCATTTACATGTGGGGAGTTAACTTATGTAATGAAACATTGGTGGAAGGATTTTTTTTTTTCTCTTTTCATTTTTGGTACCAGGAATTCAACTCAGGGCAATTGCCAGGCAAGTGTGAGGCCCTGGAGGAAGGATTGAAGTTAGAACTGGAAGGGCCAGAAAATAGGTGTGCCTTGCCCAATACACCACCAGTTCTTGGCCAATTTGAAGAAAATCTCACAGTGAGAATCTCTTTTTCTTCAAAAGCTACATTTAAGTTGTATTTATTTTTCAGATGTTTATTATTAACATATTTGGTCACTTAGGCAAGAACCAAACCGTCTAAAGATATTTCTCTATTTCCTTACAGATAGAGCTATATTTTTTAAGACTTGATCTTA